CTACAGGTCTATGCGCCCAACTTTGAGGGAGAATATGAGATCTTCCTTGAGGAAGTACAATGTGCTCTGTCCGAAGTGTCGAATACAGAGTCCCTCATACTGATGGGCGATTCTAATGCGCACGTCGGAGTAGACGCTAAAAATCGGAACGGCGTGATTGGGAAAAGCAGCCCTAGCGACCTCAACAATAACGGCATGAAGTTGTTGCGGTTTTGTGCAAACAACCGACTGTCCATTATGAACACCTTCTTCGAGCATCGAAAAGTGCATCAGTACTGCTGGTATCGGGAAGCTTGTGCAGAGAAGCCAATGGTCTATTTGATAATCGTATCGTCTGACCTAAGACGCTCAGTAATGGATGTTCGTGTTAAAAGAGGCACAGAGCTATCAACCGATCATCACTCTTGTCGTTGGCACGATGCGCTGTAAGAAATGGAGTACAATACGAAGATCCGGTGGCAGAAGCAACCGGAGAATCAAATGCGAAACATTGTCTTAGGTGTACATGAGAGCGAAATTTGCAAACAATATCGCATGACGGTTTTAACAGATCCCGGTGATGATCACTGATGCGGAAACAGAGTGGGAGCTTTTTAAGATCGACCGACCCGGTGCTGTCGCCGAATCCTGCGGATTTAAATAGGTTGACATGCAGCCTGGAGGTCAAAAAAGAACTTCCTGGTGGACAGGGGAGGTAATACTGGCAGCTAAAGAGAAGATTGCATTCAAGAAATGGCTTGAAAGCAGAGTCTTCTGCTGGAATACGATTTGTCGAAGCGCGCAAAGCGGCATCGAAAGCCAAAGCTGATTCTTGGTAAAATTTCGGTGAGGTGCCAGAGTCGAATTTTCAGATGGCGACCAAAGTATTTCGGCAGACCATCCGCTGCCTCTGAGGTGGAAAGAAGGGTAGTGTAAGAGTCCTGAAGGAGAGTTTAGACATCCACTTACTGATGATGATGACGTTTTTCAGCGATGGAGAGAGTACTTTGAGGAACTCCGTAACCCTGAACAACTGTATGAAGACTCGCCTGGCGAGTAGTATTCAACGGACATTAGTCTTACAGTGGATGAAGTCACAAAAGCTCTAAAACGCTTGAAGAGTGGAAAGTCTGCTTTAATCGATTAAATGTGCCCTGAAGTGCTTGAGACATTAAGCGAACAAAACATGTTGGGGCTAACACCTGTCTTTCAAACTGGAACGTTTATAGGAAATATACCAGACTAAAGAACAGGGGTTTGTAGTATCCTTGTTCAAGAAGGTTGATAGGGAGTTCTCCAGTTATTGGGACATTGTTTTATTGAGTCTGCCGGCAAAAGTGTTAGAAATTAGGTCGCGAGGAACAACTGACTCTAAGGTACAAGGAGAGTAGCGTGACTTCAGATGAGGCTGAAGCAGGTCTTCATTGTTGCTTTTTTATGATAAATTACTGTCCATTCTTCCGCTTGTCGTCTGCCGAATTAGTTTTTTAACTTCGTATTTTAGAGTTGTTCTTTTGCTAGTTGGCCAACGAAGCTCCTCTTGCAGGCAGTGTTCAGTACGGAAACTCAGCATTTACATTCAAAGTATAAATTGTAATTTCCATTTGGATTTTTTATGTCAATTTATTTCCCTGATTTGCAGATGGCACTTGTTAGGGGACTGGTTCGAGGAACCTTCCAGCGGTGGTTCGGACGTGCGTCTTAAACTTGCTTTTGAGGCAGGCACCAGTTTTCGGCGAACGCAGTTGTTCACGCCGTTCAGGTTTGCGTCGACACCTAATTTAAGTGATTTTCAGGTTAATGTTAATTTCAAGGCCGTCGTTGACTCGCACGCCCAGAACACGGTAAATGCGATCAACGCGGCGTTCGACACGTTCCTCGTCCTACGTCGGTGCCAGCACCAGTTGGCACATTTGTCCTTCTGCGGTAAGCAACTGCTTTGTACTGTTATGAATTTCGACCATTGTAAACTTGAGTCCTTTCTTAGATTTGAAACGTTTATGCATTTCACGCAAAGTCAGACGATTAGTAATGCTACGTTTTCTTGTCAAGAAGTTTTTCGATTCGTTTCTGGGTTTCACACGACAACGAGTAAGTACAGTACTGTGAAATGATGTTGTAATTTGCAGTTAAAAACTTTGGCGGTACCGTACTCTGTGGCAAAGTCGGTGTTGCACCAAACGGTATCGCATACAAATCTTATTATTTTTTTAGAAAAAGTTAGCGTGTTATGGTTTCGGCAGGTGTACTGTGATCAGAGGCTAACCAAAAATTCCCGTTGAATGGCAAATTCAGTTCAGTTACATTGAGTAGCACAAAGGGTCACAACATGGCCGTACAAGAAGAAATTTGAATCAACATATGCTAGTGAAATTATGCGTATTTTTTGAGACTCTTAGTCCTCGTTCTATTCATTATGCGCACTGCAGGATGAATGATTTAATGTTTTCTTTAACAATTAAGATAAATGGCAGTCTCAGTTCTCAGTTTATAACCGCGTTTTTCTCCTATACAAAATTGTCTTAAATCTGTAAGAAGGTTTATCAGTGACGGTTGTTAGATATTTCCACAATTATTTCGGTTTCTTTTAACAAAAGAGAAAGAACGAGATGGAATTGAATGCAGCAGCGTTCGGTTCAATGCATAATGAGGACTAAATGCTAGGAACATGTAATGAATGCCTCCTTTCTCTTCCAAGCACAGATGATCTCAGACCACGAGGTTAAGAAAAGTAGTTTAGGAGATTACACAAGCTCGTTGAGCATATATCATTTCCTGCAGTTCGTGACCTACTCGTGTGAGAACTGAAACACGACAGACGTCAGCCGGGAGGCCAGCATGCAAAATAGAGCAATAAGGAAGACGCAGATCTGCTTTCGAAAAGGAATATTTCCTTCGACAATGCAGTGACCACTACCATATAG